CATTTGACTTATATGTCTGTAGAGAACAGCAGAAACAAATATTTGGAAAGATTTATAAAATTTTATCCTGTTGGAAATGTGATATACTGATAGGCCAATTTTTTACTCTTTTTCTTGGGACATTCTTTCTAGATGATTCATCCTTTTGCTTTAGATGTCTCATTTGCCTTGGATTCCTTAGTTGCATGCATTCATTCTCCTGGAAAGACAAAAACAAAACACTGACCAAACCCTATCTTTGGGGAGTTTTTGGCAAGTTATATCTGATCAAATGAAAAACATTTGTTAGACTTGTAAGTTAATTTACATTGAACAGTCATTCTCCTTGATGAAGTATCACCACTTCTAATCAAGAAGTCTCTCCTGTTAGAATCTATCAACTTTGATGGCATCCATATTTTCTTTCTTTTCCCAAAACAAAAACAAAAACAAAAACAAAAAAACCTCTTCCCCAGTATAGCACATCTTCTGGTTTCTATTCTGAGGTCAACAAATCTTTATTGTTTTTAAATTAACTTTTTTGAGCTATACATTTTTCTCTGCTCCCCTCCCTTCCTCTACCTGCCTTTCTACTCTCTCCCATGGTCCCCATGCTCCCAATTTACTTATGAGATCTTGTCTTTTTCTACTTCCTATGTAGATTAGATCTATGTATGTCTCTCTTAGAGTCCTTGTTGTCTAAGTTCACTAGGATTGGGAATTATAGGCTGGTTTTTCTTTGCTTTATATCATAAAGACACTTATGAGTGATTACATATGATATTTGTCTTTCTGGGTCTGGGTTACCTTACTCAATATGATGTTTTCTAGCTCCATGCATTTGCCCTCAAATTTCAAGATGTCATTTTTTTCCTGCTGTGCAGTAGTCCATTGTATAAATATACAACATTTTTCTTAACCATTCTTTGGTCAAGGGTCATTTAGGTTGTAAACAGGTCCTGGCTATGATAAACAATGCTGCTATGAACATAGTTGAGCACATAATCTTATGGTACAAATGAGCATCCTTTTGGTATATACCCAAAAGTGCTATTGCTGGGTCTTGAAAAAGATTCTTGCCTAATTTTCTGAGAAATCACCATGCTGATATTAAAAGGGGCTGTACCAGCTTGCACTCCCATCAGCAATACAGGAGTGTTCCCTTTACCCCACATCCATTCAACATAAGTTGTCATTGGTCTTTTTTTACCTTGGCCGTTCTTATAGGTGTAAGATGCAAACTCAGAGTGGTTTTGTTTTGCATTTCTCTGATGGCTAAGGATGCTGAGCATTTCTTTAAGTGTCTTTCAGCCATTTTAGATTCCTTGATTGAGTTTGCTGCTTAGGTCTGTACACTATATTTTTATTGGATTATTTGTTCTTTTAATGACTAGTTTCTTGAGTTCTTTGTATATTTTGGAGATCAGCCCTCTATCTGTTGTGGGGTTGGTGAAGATCTTTTCCCATTCTGTAGATTGCAATTTTATTCTATTGACCATGTTTTTTTGTTTGTTTGGTTTTGGTTTTGATTTAAAAAAAGATGTTCAATTTCAGATGTTTCTATTTGTCAACTTTTCTCTCACTGTCTGTACTATTGGGGTTAGATTTAGAAAAGTGGTGTTTTGTGCCAATGTGTTCAACTGTACTTCCCACTTTCTCTTCTATGACGGTCAGTGTGGCTGGCTTTATTTTCAGGTCTTTGATCCATTTGAACTTGAGTTTTATGGATGGTAATAGATATGTATCAATTTTCATTCTTTTACATGTTGATATCCAGTTATGCCAGCACCACGTGTCAAAGGCTTTTTCAGCATTTAATGAGATCATCATGTGGTTTTTATTTTTCAGTTTGTTTATGTGGTGTATTACATTGACAGATTAGCATATGTTGAACCACTCCTGCATCTTTGGGATGAAGCTGACTTGATCATGGTGGATGATCTTTCTGATGTGTTCTTGAATTCGATTTGCCAGTATTTTATTTAATATTTTGACATCAATGTTTATGAGTGAGATTGGTCTATAAGTCTCTTTCTTAGTAATTCTTTATGTGGTTTGGGTATTGGGTAATTGTTGCCTAATAAAAAGAGTTTGGCAATGTACCTTTTGTTTCTATTGTGTGGAACAATTTGAGGAGTATTGGTATTAGTTCTTTTTTGAAAATCTTGTAGAATTCTGAGCTGAAACCATCTACTCCTGGAATTTTTTTTTGATGGGAGACTTTTGATGAGTGTTTCTATTTCTTTAACAAATATAGGTTTATTTTATTTGCTTATTTGGTCTTGATTTAATTTTGGTACATGACACTTATCCAGAAAATTGTCCATTTCCTTTAACTTTCCAATTTTGTGGAGTACAGATTTTTGAAATATGACCTAATGATTCTCTAGATTTCCTTTGTGTTTGTTGTTATGGCTCCATTTTCATTTCTGATTTTGTTAATTTAGATATTCTCTCTACCTTTTGGTTAGTTTGGATAAAGATTTGTCTATTTTGTTGCTTTTCTTGAAGAACCAACTCTTTGTCTCACTGATTCTTTATTTATATTTTATTGATTTCAGCTCTCAATTTGCTTATTCCCTGCCATCTAGTTCTCCTGGGTGAGTTTGCTTCTTTTTGTTCTAGAGTTTTTAGGTATTCTGTTAATTCCAGCTTCATTATTTATTTATTTATTATGTATACAATGCTCTGTCTGTATATATGTCTGCAGGCCAGAAAAGGGCACCAGATCTCATTACAGATGGTTGTGAGCCATCATGTGGTTGCTGGGAATCAAACTCAGAACCTCTGGAAGAGCAGCCAGTGCTCTTAACCTCTGAGCCATCTCTCCAGCCCTTTTCCAGCTTCTTTATGTAGGCTGTTATATGCAAAAATCTGTTTCATTTTACTAGAAATATATGCGGGAGCATTGTCAGTCTTAACATGTACAGGTATCCTCATGATGGCCATAACTTCTAATAAATGTATAATTACAGAATCAACCCCTTCAGAACTCAAAGCAGTTGTGCATTAAAATCATGAAGTATCTATGGTATGGTGTACATATTTTAATTTTCCAAATTCTGTGAAATGAAACACATCCATCTGCCAAATTCCATTTCTTTGAGCACCCTTTGGAGTTTGATTATTAAAAAAAAGTAAAATATTTTCTTATAATTTTCTTGACTAGTTAGTTGCCAAGTGATAGGAAAAAATTTTTAAGACCCTTACTATTAACATGTTTCTTATGAAATTTTGAGACTTCTAACACATTTCCTACTAATTGATAATCAATTTCATCATTTCCTTGTGCTAGTGGGCCTGGTAGTCATGTATGGGACCTGATATGTGTTATATATAAGGCATGTTTTCTATCTCTGATTATTTCTTTTAATTGAATAAATAACAAAGTTAATTCTGAAGCATCTGAAATATGTTCAGCAGTTTCAATATGTAAATAACTCTTTCTGCACATTGAGAGTAACTATATTAAGAGGTTCTAGGAAATCTAATAATACTATAAGACTAGTTTATAATTTTGGCTTTTTAACAAAATCATAAAGGCTTTGAGCCACTTTACTTAAATTTCCTGACTTATTATGTGCCTTTTTTGCATCAGTATAAAATGTAGGGGTTCCAGAAATTGGTTTTCCCTGTACAATGAGAGGATGAATCCAATTAGTTCATTTTATGAACTGAAGTCTCTTGACTTTGGGTTGTTTGTTGTTACTCTCTTCTAAACAATTACTGCAAGCTCTTTGCCATGCTCATTTTCTGTCCATAACGAGGAAATTTCAGCATTAGTAAAAGGTATGATGGGTCTATTCCTGCTAATTGATAAAGTCTTCAATTTTCCTTTCAGGATCAATTCAGAAACCTTTTCTACATAGGCCTTTAAGTTTTTACTCTGTGTTGTAAAAAATATTCATTATAAAATATTATCTTCTCTCTGCATTAGAATTCCAGTGATAGAATGTGTAGAAGGTAAAACAACCAGAATACATTCAAGCTGTGAACCAAATGATACACATGTGCATCTGGTAATGGTAACTTCTTTTCTACCAAAGTCAGTTCTTTTTCAACCTCAGATAATAATTTTCTTGGACTATTTAAGTTCTTATTGTCTTGTAAGGTTTGAAATAAATTATTTAGTTCTTAAATTGTCAATCCACTTATGGGTCATAACAAGTTAATATCTCCCAGCAATTTTTGAAAATCATTAGAAATTTATAATTAATCTCCCCTATATAGCATAAGGTCAAGGTGTGATCATCAAGTGTAACCTGTCTTTCCATAGCAGCATAATGGCCCTCACCAAAGATTTAATCTTGAGAAACCACATAACTTCTAGCCTTACCTCAATGTTCAACGGCCCTAGCTTAATATCTCCACCAGATTCTCCATTCTATCTGAGAATCAGCATCCAATACTGATGTGACTAACTTTTTCCAGTTTTGTGGAATAATTATGTTGCGAGTGGCCAATGAATTTAACATTTGCTTCACAAAAGGTGAGTGCATACCATATCAAACTATTCCTTCCTTAAATCTCTTCAAATATGACATTTCTATAGGATCCCAGTTAACTTCTGAATAGCCTTGTAGATGCTTATTATCTGGTGGTCATTCTTGCATAATTACTCGATAAATTTTTCTAATAACTTTAGGCTACTCCTCTTTAGTGTCATAATACAATGGTGTAGTAACTCTGTTTCAAGATCTTCTGTCTCTGTGAGAATATCTTTCTTAATTTTATTAGTCTATACTTGTAAGTATTTTATCTTTATCAATTTTTCTATTTGGCACTGATACCAAACAACATGTTTAGTGATAAAAGAAGAATGACCAAAATGATAATTGCCACTATGTTAATTCCAGCAACATTGATTATTCTTCATTTAATTGTTCCATGTTCAAACCATCCATTGTGGAACTATACAGAGACCTAACTCTGTGCATTGCAATATTTCCCATTTTTAATGTGGGGGAAAATTCTCTTTTTTAAAAACTAATCTCCCCCCCCCTTAAGAATTTCTAGTTTTCTCACCAGATCTGCTGATGATGACAGTGAAGTGTGCAGGTGACTGTCACGGCACAGCACAGCTGGGCAGAAAACACAGGGAGTGCACAGCCTGACTGCGGGCAACTGCAGCTGCTCATATATAGCTGTGAGCTGAGATTGTGTGGCAGTTGCAACAACAAAAGAAGCCTAAGTGGGTGCTGAGCTGGTTACTCTAGTGTGACAGCATCCTGAAGAGGGGTGCAGGGGAAGCCCTCAACCCATGTGGAGAAGGAGTCAAGAAGCTATTCATCTGAGAAGCAGACACGGGAATGTGCAGAAGGAGCTCCTGTGGCAGGAGCTTCCTGAAGGCAAAGTCAGCCAGGCATGGGTGGGTAATTCTCATGTTCGGAGCCCAGGCACCTGTGGAGTTTCGGGCCTTTGAAGTTTGGGTGGCAGCTGGAGACTGTTGTAGAGAGTCTGCAGCAGGAAAATCCCAGACTTGCTCAGAGACTTTGAAGCAAGGAAGGAAAAGCCAGCCAGCTCTGGCAGCTGTGGCAACTGCAAAGCCAGTGGTGAGCACCTATCTTGTGCTGTCATGTCTTAAGTTGGATGCCAGGCAATGCATTTATCTAATTATTCTTTATTAATGAAAAATCGGGAGTCAAATGTTGGGGTAAGATCCTGAATGATCAGAGAAGAGGTCACCAATCATATCCTCTCTCTTCTGTTCCTCAATCAAAAGACTTGAGATCTTCTCTCAGCCCTGCCTTGCTACTTTCTGACTCCTGTCTAGCCTCTGTCGAAGACCTCTATAGTTAATTTTTGCCATTAGTGGCTAGCTCTGCCCTCTGCCTCCAAACAAATTTTATTGTCAGAATATGATCAATATATCATAAGACATTAACCAGCCCTCCTAAATAATGATAAATAGCCATTACCCATCAAATTACCAAAAACCACCCATCCCACCTTTTGTGAATGTGGGCATCATGTTCTTAAAATTACTTCCTGTTGTCTGATGACAATGGCATCTTTGAGAAAATTGAGATAATGGTCAAGTCCTGGGAAAGGTACCTGTATAACTTGTTGTTCAGTCTCTGTGTAATGGGAAAGCACAGGGCTTATCTAGAGTCCTGGCTGGAATAGTCTGTGAGGCTGGAGCATATTAGCTAGCCACTTTGAAGATGTTTTGGATGTAGATTGTTGGGAAAACTGCAAAAGGCATTCTGAGAGGCTGTATCACCTGTTTTCTTTGTTGTCTGGTCCTTTATTTTCTGAAAACACACAGACTTTTAAAGGTAACATACATATCTACATTAACACAATTTTGGAATGTTCTATGTGTATAAATCAGCTAAAGATGATTTTTGTTTTATGTTTGTATAGGTAAAAACCACCTGTCAGTTTTATCAGTCCATTTGTACTGCATAACTAAACTGTCGTGAGGACTCTGTAGCTAATAAGATTCATCATGTCTCATCCAATCTCAGAGCTGTTTCCATAGCAGAGGGATCAGCTTATATGCAACCTGTCTTGTATGTTTTCTTTTTTATTCCTTTGTGCTTGAAGTCAAGATCCTCATGAGATCTGCCCTGATGAAATCTAATCTCCATTAACTTTGAAGAAATCTACAACTTTTTGTTTTCTGTGGAAACAGATGTATAACATCTCCCCTGACAAAACGTATTTCCTGACTTCCATTATGAAGTTAAGACATCCTTAAAATATATAGCCTGGTTTAATTTAGAATGTGATTTTTTCCACAATCCAATCTCAGTAGCTGTTGGATTTTTGTTGTTGTTGTTCATTAGCATGTAGAAAGTTTAGTCAACAAAGTAGCATATAGTATTCATATGTCCTGTGTATTTTCAATCCTTATCTGGTTTACATATGTGTGTGTATGTGTACATATGTATTTGTACTTTACTCTTTCTTTAAAGACTTTTCTTTTTAAACTACTTTTCCTATGACTGTTTATCCCCATTTTCTTTGCTTTCTTTAGTATCTAAGCACATTTTTAAGAATATTGTACCTTTTTAGAGGTTTTTGTGGGTCTGGATCTGGCTTTTTGCACCTCTGTAACATTTCTCTGACCACGTGAGACAAATCTTAAAAGGCCATGACAACTGCCATGCAGCTAGGCTTATCACATGGTGCTGGTGGCTGACTCTACCCTTTTCAGGCCCTCAGGCAGCAGCAGAACCATCACCTAAATATCCCAGCTGCTCCTAACTGTCCCAGCTCTGGTCACTCTGTGCTCATCTGCAGAACAGGGTCTTCTAAAGGAGTGCAGTTCTGTACACAGTAAGCACTGGGTCTACTCAAGAGACTGCAGCCACCAGGAAGCCACGTCCAACTCCATGTTTGTAACTTCTTTCAACTTTCTCAGGCCCTATGTGGATTTTCATGGCCCACATTGGGTACAAACGGTAGTTGATCTTTCTCATTGACTTTCTTTTGGGACCACCAACCCCCAACTAATGACATGGAAACTTCTTATTAATTAATAAGTTTGATCTTTAGCTTAGGTTTGCTCCCAACTAACTCCTAACTTTTATTCATTTACATTCTGCCATGTGGCTCTTTTTCAGTACCATGGGTACAATGCCCTCTATGTCTCGCTAGAGTCTTCTGCCATTCCTCCACTCATCCCAAGTTCTTCTCTCTCCCTGGAAGTCTCACCTATTCTCTCCTGCCTAGCTATTGGCCATTCAGCTCTTTATTAAACCAATGAGAAGGCACCTTGGCAAAGACACATCTTCTCAGTGTACAAACAGATTATCTCACAGCAATAATGTTTTTATTCTTTTGGGAATTTCATACTCTGCATTTTGATCATCATCCCCCTCCCTCAATTCCCACCATACCCACCTTCACCTTTCTACCCACCCAACTTCATATTCACTCATTTCTTTTGTTCTCCTTTTTAACTCTTTGAATCCCATTCATGTTGCCCAAATACTCTTGAGTGTGGACCCTGCACTGAAGCTTGGTCATCTTACCAGGGTCACACCTTTAAAACTAAACTAAACTAAAAACCTGACCAATCCTAGTGGCTATCATATACCAATGCTCCTTAGCTAGAGATAGGATTTTGTGTCCATCTATGATGTGGGAGTGATTTCTTATTAATAAAGAAACTGCCTAGGCCCATTTGATAGGCCAACCCTTAAGTAGGCGGAGAAAACAGAACAGGATGCTGGGAGAAAGAAGCTGAGTCAGGAGTTGCCATGATTCTCCCACTCCAGACAGACACAGGTTAAGATCTTCTCTGGTAAGCCACCTCGTGGGCTACACAGATTATTAGAAATGGGTTAGATTAATATGTAAGAGCTAGCCAGTAAGAGGCTACAAATAACGGGCCAGGCAGTGTTTAAAAGAATACAGTTTCCGTGGAATTATTTCGGGCAAAAGCCTGCCATGTGGGAGCCAGGGCTGCCAGAACGCAGCCCTGCCACTCCTATCACTACACATCTACCCTCTTCCATGCTGGTATCTGCCTGAATTGAGTTTGCACAGGTCTTATGCCTGCTGCCACAACCACTGTACGTTCATACATGCAACTCTCCTGTTGTGACCAGGAAACACTGTTGCCTTGCAGTCATTGAACACTTCTGACTGTTAATAATCTTTCAACCTTTCTGTGATGATTCCTGAGCCTTGACTGGAAGGATCTAATATAGATGCCCATTTAATGTTAAGCATTTTGGCGTTTCTTATTCTCTGCCGCTTGGCCAATTGTGTGTCTCTGTTTTAATTACTAATTATTGCAGGAAATAGCTTCTCTGATGAGTTATTCATGGATATATGGGTATAGCAATTAATTAGAAGTATTTTAACTTATGTTCATCAAAGGCTATCCAACAGCCTATGATGTATTTAGTCACATGTTCCTGACTCCATTAATGGTGTCAGGTATAGGTTCTATTTCTTGGAGTTGTTATAACAAACCTCAAAGGCAGTTTATACAAGAAAGCATTTAATCGGGCTTACACTTTCAGAGGGTGAGAATCAGTGATGGCAGAGCAAGGGAAAGGCAGCAGGAACAGTTGCAAGTTCATATCTTGCCCCACAGGTAGAAGGCAGAACAGGTAGAAGGCACAGTGGGAATGGAACAAGTCTTTCTAAACCTCCAAGCCTACCCAGAAATATCCCTCTCCAACAATATTACACTTTCTAATCCTTTCCAAACAGTCCCAGCCAACTGTAGACCAAGTGTTCAAACATATGAGTCATTGGATCCATTTGCATTCAAACTACCGAACTCCACACTCCTCTAATATTTATGCCCCTGAGTCTGTGGGTACACCTTCACAAGATAGCCATTATTATAGCTCATAGAGTTAGTAGTGGGGTAATATTGATGGTTCCTTTCTCCTCTAGTTGTGTGCATAGTGCCTTTTAGCACTATACAAGCTAGCAAGTAGGACTAAAGCTTCCAAGTCAATACACACTTAATTTCTCTGTTTTGTGGCTCAGGTATGTGGTATCATGAGCAGCAGGGTCTTACCATCAAGTTCTGGTGGGCAAAAAGAGTCATGGCAATAACTTGTAATGTTTGGGGGTCTATGAAATCTCACTGGCCAGAAATATAAATAATTAAGAACAATTCTTTACTGGCACTGGAATTTTTTTTGCTAGCATGTGGTATGTAGTTGTGGTGTTGCTTTACTATGGACACTCTGGGTAGTATGTTGGTTAGTTTTGTCAACTTGACACCAACGGAATCACTAAGGAAGAAGGTATCATAGCTGAGGAATTAGCGTCATCAAAGTCGCCTCCTTCAAAGTAGCATGTATATTGAGCATTTTCTTGATTGATGATTGATGTAGGAGGGCCCAGCTCACTGTGAGTGGTGCCATCTTTGGGCAGGTGGTCCTGATTATATTTAAGAAATCAGACTGAGCTAACCATGGAAAACAAGCAAGTAAATATTTTCTCCACAGTCTCTGCTTCAGTTCCTGCCTCCAGGTTCTGGCTTGAGCTACTGCCTTGATTTCTTCCAGTGATAGACTGCGATGTGTAAGCTGAAATAAACCCTTTCTTCCCAATTTGGTTTTGGCCAAATGTCCTATTATAGCAATAGAAAAGCAAGCTAATATAAGTAAGTAGGTATCTACATGGCTTTTTTAAAAGGCTTTTAGCATTAGTTATCTCTCCTCATAACTTCACTTCTACTCTACCCTCCCATCCCCCAACCCATTTAATCCTGTTTTATTATTCTCATTTCTCCCCTTATTCCACTGTATTATGTCTTCCCCCTTCCCCTAAAGAAACATTTCTCCCTACCCCACGGACCCACAACTGGTTTCTTAAGCTCTAAGGGTATTCCAAACAAGACATACATGTCTAAGATTCAAAGCTAACATCTTTATATGAGAGACAATA